GGGGCCCCTGCCCCGTCCCCCCGCCCCAGAGCGGCGGTTTTGGTCCTGCCCAGCTGGGGGCAGGCCCCGCCGGGGAATCCCTCATCCCCCCCACCATGGGTTGCCCTGTGCTGCCGAAGGGATGGGTGTCATCGCGTTCGGAGCAGTGTGGAGGTGCTGACAGAGTCTAGCTACCCAGGAGAGCAAAAAACAATCGCTGCTCATTTAATGCTCAATTTTTAATCAAGCTTTTGTGACTTTTGGGTGTCTGTTTTGACCCTAAACTTTGTAAGGGTGACAGAAACTTCTCCTTGTTTGGGTATAGTTAATAGGATATAATTGTAGTTTCTTGTACTGAAAGTAGCTCTTTAGTATCTCCAGGAGGTTTTGGAGAGTTTATTACCTTCCTTAGGTTTCAATGTTTGAGCTGGTAGTTCCGGTATTCACAAAAGCGGATGACTCTTCAAAGTCAATTTATAACTTGCTTTACCAGTTCTTTTTGTTTTCCATTCTGGTTAACTCTCTTTGCATGTGGAGCTGTTGGACAACACCAGCTGTAGTAACATGACTTCACTTTGTAATGTTTTCTCCAGTTTCATACTTGTCTTCTTTTATTTAAGAAAGGCAGAGTGTTTTGAAAGAATTTTGTGGATCAGGGGAATAAGGTCCCATCCTTAAGCTGTTATTTCCATTATTAGTGCCAGCCTGAATTAACTTCTCCTCCTAATAGTTGCATGTGCATATCCTTTCTCGTAATACTTTCAATGCACAACTGAATTAGTGCAATATAGTAAAGTCTGAACTGTTTGTAGGTAGCGTTTTTTTTTCCCCCTTCAGGAAACAATATAATTAACTTGAAACTGAAACTCTACTATTGAACAGAACTTTATTTTTTTGTTAAAATATGTTTATTTGCTTGTTGACAGGCACTGGATGATCCTACCTAAACAATGTCTGTCCCACGTGGAGCTGTCCATGCAAAATGGATAGTAGGGAAGGTAATAGGAACCAAAATGCAGAAAACTGCCAAAGTGAGAGTGACAAGACTGGTGCTAGACCCTTACTTACTAAAGGTAAAAGCTGGCTAGCATTTTGTTTTACAAGATAAGCGTAGTATTTTGCATGGGAAAATGTTTAATTGATTTGACTCTTAGAACTTTTAGTAACTTTTTTGTACTGCAAACTTCTTGAGGGGCTTGCATAATGATTTGGCTGTGGGGATGACTGTAAAAGATTAAAAGTGTGTTGTCACACTTCTAATAGATTATCTGCTAAATATGCATGAGTATACTCATACCACATACTGTGGTGTGCTAGAAGAGCCTTGCACTTAAAATTTGTCAATGCACCTCAAGTAGGGAGGTTTAAAAATATTTTCCCAATTTTAGATGGGGCGATTATGGCACAGGTGGGTGAAATTACCCTCAGCCTTTTGGTTGCCAAGGTCAAGTTAAGTGGAGTTCTTGTGGGCCCTGGAATAATGGGTCTGGTGAATCTTAGCCTGACATTGTACCCAGTAGAAGAACCTCTTGATTCTGAATCCTGTGGTGTCAGTAAAACTAAACATTTTGTTATTGCATGACAGGAAATGAATTGAGCAAGAAAACTTGGAAAAAAAGAAAAAGATAAGCTTTGGTGCAAAACCAAATGTAGGGCTAATGAGCTTTAAGAATGTTAGAATAGGTAAGAACCAATACTTGCTCTTGAAGTGGAAACTGTTCAGGAAAGTCAGATTATTCAGCAGAAGTGGAGTATCCTAAGGAGAAAGAGAAGGCTAAAATAGCAAAACAAACTATAGCAGAGGGGCCAGTGTACAATGGTGATGCTAGAAAAGGGTGTCTCTGTCCCTTGAAGAAGAGTTCATCTTTGTTGGTAACCACCTGTTCACCATCAGCAGTTTCTTGTATCTCTGTGCTCTCTTCCTCACTTCCTTTTCCACAGACTCTTGTTGGCAATAACATACATGTGAGGTGAGGGTGATAATACAGTCCTTTCTTTGAGAGGAAAAGACTGAGCACAGTAGCATTTTTCTTCACAATCCAGACTTGAGCTCATTGCAAAATCAAAGGCAAATAGTTATACAAAGCTGTACTTCTCACCAGAGAAACATGGTTTATTTTGTATTAAAAATATATTTAGCATTGCTTTATTTTGAAACCTAATGCCAAGATTTGTTTTTTCTTCCACAGTTCTTTAACAAGCGGAAAACGTATTTTGCCCATGACCCGTTGCAGCAGTGTGTTGTTGGAGACATTGTTCTTCTGAAAGCTTTGCCTGAAAGGAGGAGCAAGCATGTGAAACATGAACTGGCTGAAATTGTTTTCAAGGTTGGAAATGTCATAGATCCAATAACAGGAAAACGCTGTGCAGGAACCAGGTTCCTTGAAAATTTGTCAGATTCCGAAAATCTGACAGAGGCAGATACTACCTATTTAAGTGAAAAACTCCAGGAACTTAAAGTTTCTTCAACAGATAAATAGAAGGAAAACACCTGGAAGGCTTTTCAACTGATCTGTGAGGGGTATTTGGGGCCCTGTTGTTGTATGTAACATGTTTCAGTGATCTTTGGAGTCACAATAAATAGTACATAGTTCTTCTAAAACTGGATGTTGCAGGTTGAACTCAGTTTCTAAATGAAAACACAGAGAAAATGTCAGTTAAGTGTTAACACTTCCTCTTCTTGCATGTAGCCTTTTCCAAGCTCTTGATAGTTTCAGATGTCAGCTGTTCACTTAGAATGGCTCTTCTCTATTGAGAAATAAAGAATATAACTATATATAGTGTTTAAATTGTAGGGGGAGGGGAGGTTTATTTGTTCTGTATTTCCGACAATCTTTGGTTGGTTGGTATACTTAAAACAATGCTATTAAAACTTTTCAAAGGAAATGTCGAAATCTTAAAGCCAACTACCTACATGTGTCCTTATTTCCTCTTAGTCATTTAAACCATATGGCTGTATTTTACAACTTCCACAATTTCTAGGAAAAATACAGTCACTTGCCTTTGAATGTTTTCACTTTACTGCTATTATAAACTTTGGGTAGCTTAGCATGGTTCCCTTTGTGGGAAGAAATCTATGCAGATTTTGCTAAGCTGCCCCAGCTGGGAATGGAAAATTAAGAACTCTCATTAATGTTATTAGTTGCCATAAGCTGCTGGATTTGTGTACTTATTTTGGGAGAAAAAAGTGCTTCCTTTACAACTGAGTAACTTGCGCAGAGTATTCAGTTTGGGGAGAGCAGGACCTTTGAACTGCCATCAGGAAATAGGTAATGGGAATGCAAAGCTAAATGAAAGTAAATATACTTAGATTTAGTCTCATCAGAAGAGCTAATAAAAGCAACACATTAGAGGTACAGGTACTGATTTGCTGAATGCCGTAATATAAAACAGAAAGGCCATAGAGGTTAATGGTTAGATTACTTTATCCTGCTGCAGGTCTGGGGATCGGGTGTCTGGTTTTCCCAGATGTAAACTGAATGTGTGCTACTATTACAGCAGCCTTGTGTAGCTGACTTGGTTGGTTTTGTATTCGGATTTAAAGGGAATTTGAGTCAAAACAGCTTTTGAAGGGATGGAACCCTATCTTGAATGGAGGAGAGCAGGTATATCTTTGATCTTTGATATACCTGCTGTGAGGGACCCTGTGTAAAGAGCTATGTTTACTGATGTCATTGCTCTTTGCTTCAGGGATGGAACCCCATCCTGAATGGAGGAGAGCAGGTATATCAAAGCTGTGAGGAAGCCTGTGTAAAGAGCTGTGTGTTTACTGATGTCATTGCTCTTTGCTTCAGATGAGAAACTGGACAAGGAATTTCTAAATAGAATTCCTGTGTTGATGGCTTAAAGTTGAGGAGGGAACTGAACCACTGTAGTGTTATTAGTAGCCTCTCACTTCTCTTTCACTGTCCTAGAAATGTTATTTCCCTTTTTCACATGCACAAAATGGCAGTTTCAGCTGTCCTGCTGGCAAAGATTGAACTTTGGATTACTCTTTTTAGATTGTTCTTGTTGATCTGCCTGTGCTGAAATGGTTTATGCAGATTAATTGGTAGCTTCCAGTGAAGTGGAAGAAAATTGGGGCTCCAATTCCCATTCCAATGTGTGGAACTTCATCTCTAGCTGAGAATGAGAGAAGAACCCTGTGTAGAACACTGCCCTGGGCAGCAGAAAACAGAAAACACAAAAAAATAGGGATCCAAAATACAGGAGGAGAAGAAATGTGTATGGAGAAGGAAGCTATCCAAGCAGTACAAGAAGCTGAGCCGAGTACTTGGGCTGCAAGAGAGTGTCCTATCAACTAAGCAACACAAGGGAGGAGTTTCCTGCATGTTCAATGAGTTGCATCTCCATCAAAACGGGATTTAACATCCAATTGCCGGATCGAAACGTGACCGAGGCCGCCTCACACCGGCCTCCCGGGGCGGGGCTGGTGGCAGAGCGGCGCATGCGCGCGGCGGT